ATTAACAGCATTTAAAAAGCAGAAACTAATGAATTACAATATAAACAAGAATATCATCAATTAAAAAGTCAATATAATACATATAAATCCTTATTTACAGATGGATCCAAGGATGGTGGCGCGGTGGCATGTGCCACTGTCATTGGATCCAGAACAATATCTTCTCGTTTACCGGATAACAGCTCTATTTTTACAGCAGAAGCAAACGCCATCTTAACAGCTCTTAAATATATTAATAAACACCGTAAATATAAACAATATATAATCTTTTCAGATTCTCTTTCTTGTCTTCAGGCTATTAAAAATATTTCTTGCAAACATCCACTTTTATTAGAAATTATTGAATTGAATAATGAGCTTGCTACTGGCCAGTGCGACATCGTCTTTTGTTGGTTACCCAGCCACGTTGGCATTTCTGGGAATACCATGGCTGATCTTGCTGCCAAGGCAGCACTCAACAAATCTGTGACACCACTTCTTATTCCATACTCTGATTATAAAGCTGGCATTAGAACTTACATCCGTGATCTGATGCAGAAGAAGTGGGACGCCCAAGTAGGTATTAATAAATTACATGCAATAAAACCCTATATTGGTTACACCTACTTGGGTTGTCAGTCCAGATTTGAAGAGGTCATTATGCGACGATGTCGCATTGGCCATACCAGATATACTCATGAATATTTATTGAAAGGCGAAGATCCTCCGTTTTGTATCCCTTGTGATGAAAGGATCACAGTCAAGCATGTCCTGCTTGACTGCATTGAATATTCCATCACAAGGGATAAGTATTTTAATGTCAAAACATTGAAGGATCTTTTTAATAATGTTAGTTCTCATTTAGTTATTGCCTTTTTAAAAGAATTAGATTTATTAACTGATTTGTAAATAGATAAATATTTTATTATTGGTAATTTAAATTAGTCACTGAGATTGTTAGTGGCTGTACCCTCAAAGGGGGTTGACGTAGCGTAAAATTATTGTCCTCCTGAGAGGGTACGTAAGTCCCAAAACTTTCAAAGTAAAATCTAAATTATCACATTTTAAACGTAGTATTTTTGTTATTTTAACTGTTGGCTAAATTTCCCTACAATCGCCAGCGGCTGAAGGGATGGTGTAAATCCAGCTAGGATCCATGCAGGTAGCAAAAGTAATGTAAGTCCCCATGGCTCCTAGCATGGTGATCTACCTTCAGTTGGTGGCGATCTATAGCCCATTTTTATATTGTGTTGTCCCCTATAGTTAAAATGTTTTAGATTCAATTACTAGTTTTACATATATATCTGTGATTATCTAGTTATTTTACTGTCCTTCGTCGGCAGAATTTTATAATTTCACTTAAATTGTTGATATATTTATAACTTGCTTTAGTCACGATATGGCTGAAATATTGCCGATGTGACTTTAAATCTTAACTCACTCACTCACTCGTATCCCTTGTGATGAGAGAACCACGGTCAAGCATGTCCTGCTTGACTGTGTTGAATTCTCCATCATAAGGGATAAATCTTTCAAAGTAAAAACTGTTAAGGATCTTTTTAATAATGTCAATTATCATTTTATTATCGAATTGTTAAAAGAAATAGAACTGATGGATGAATTTTGATTCATGTTTTGTGTATACATACATTTTTAGTATTGGTTATTTATATGAGAAACTGAATTCATCAGTAGCTGTACCTTTGAAGGGGGTTGACATAGCCTAAAAATATTGTCCTCCTGAGAGGGTACGTAAGACCCAAAACATTTCAAGTAAATTTAAGACTACCATGTTTTTAATCGTAGTATTTTGTCATTTTAATGTATGGCCAAATCTCAGCATAAACGCCAATGGCTGAAGGATGGTGTAAATCCAGCTAGGGTTCATGCAGGTAGCAAAGGCACTGTAGGTCCACATGGTGCCTAGTATTGTGATCTACTTTCAGTTGTTGGCCATCTATAGCCCATTTTTACATTGTATTGTCAAAAATAGTTTTCTGTTTTTAAAGATATATACTAGCCAGTTTTAACTCATTTTGTGATAAACTAGTAATTTTACTGTCCTTCGTTGACAGGGATTTATATATTATATGTATGTATTATGAATTTAAAACTGGTTTTAGTCATGATATGGCTGAAATATTGCCGATGTGACGATAAATATTAACTCACTCATTTACTAATTCTGACAATCCTGAAACTTATTATCACCAAAGACGACTTTTATATTCTGCTAAACCATTTTTAATAGCTCACAACACGTACATCATGTACTACAAGAGTCTTGCCACCTGGGACAATTACTGCTGCATAAACCCGCTTATGTAACCCGAACTGTAATAACACTGCAAACACTATTTTGTGTGCGTCTGTTACAAGTTAAATCAATAACTGACAATACAAGTAGAGTAACTAGCTTTTACCCATGACGTTCAGGAGTAATTTGATTATACTATATCTGAACACGAAGAATAATTAAGGCCCACATATATATCAAATACATATATCCATTTATAATAAGACTCATGCATATGTACATTAGCTTTTCTGTATGTTAATGTCGACCTGCTCGTTATGTTTGCGTGGAAGTCACGTCACGCCCATTATCATCCTGCACGCTCTGTACGAAGCATGCTTTCAGCGAACAAGTTGGGAAGTTACTCATATATACAAACTGCCATATGATCTGACATATGACAGCTGATTTGAATTGTAAGTATGCCATGCCTTTACTGTTTTATTTTGACAGTCACGAGACATTGACTACAGTTTCATTGTAATCTTCGGGAATGACAACAGGTGTCTCTGTGTCCTACTCTACAACCACTGATAACCAAAGGGATGGCATACATCCTGCTGGGAATTCATGCAGGAAGCAAAAGCACTGTAAGCCCCCTTGATTGTAAGTGGCTGATAGCCTGGTTGTAATCGATAACAATGAATCTATTTACTATCTTTCTATCGTCAGGTTTCTAAAACTAGGATATACCTAACGATTTTGCTGTTTTTGTCGACAGATGTTTTATCATGAATACCCTTTTACATCTCTAAATGGCTGGAATATTGCTGATGCTATGTAAAATTTTAACTCTCTCACTGCCATTCTTAACACCCCACCACCTCCGTCTCCCTCTTCAACAGAATGCGTCTGCCTGATACTCTGTCAAAATGTTGTGATCAAATAGCACCTTGCCACACTTCTATTTCGCAAAGAAATATTCATTTCTTCGTAAAACGCTTTATGGAATGGCAGCACGTATATCAGATCGATGCAGGTTGTTTTTTACAATTACATATTTTATATGTCAAGTTTCGTTACAGGTGTAAACCTATGCTAACCATGGAGAGCAATCAGGAGAGTGATGTAGGAGTTCCCATGACAGAGTTAGATTGTCCAGGAGGAGATAGAAGTGAACCTACACGACAGAGAGTCTCATGGAGCAGACATCTGGACTACATGCTGACAAAGGTTGGCTACTGTGTTTCATTAGGAAACCTGCTGAGATTCCCCTATATCTGTAACAGAAACGGTGGAGGTAAGCCTCCAGTGCTATCTGTATAATATACGATGCCATCTTGTAAACGTGGTATCGGGTCCAATAAATACCTGTGTGATGTTGCATTTACCAGAAACCATTTTCTACACCCAATATATATTGATTCCATTGAGTTAAAAGATGTATCATCTAATGGAGGGTGTTATCGGTGCAATAAAGCTATCTGTAAACTTGGTATCCAAATCTGATAATCTGCAAATTACGTCAATCCACGAACTACATTTTCAAAACTCCATACATGCCGTGCGAATCCTAAAACGTTTAACATTTCATTGATGACGTTGATTTACGTTGCGTCGACGAGTTTGTAAACTGGTGATTCTGTAGAATTGATGACAGAGGTTCTGGAGTCGTTACTGAAGTAATTGCAAAACATGAAACGGAGAACTTCGTTCAACTTGAAGGTACGGATTATGAGGCACGAGCGACAGCCTATCGTCTAAGATAGGTACCAAACAAGGATTTCGATCTATCGATCACAACAACGAATCGATTCCTTCAGGTATCAGAAACTGATTTTGATAAGGTGATTACCCGCAATGAAAAAGAAACACTACCAAGAAAACCCTGCCTGATGTTGTTGTTCTTTTTAGACAGAAAGATTATATTTTAGGCACGAGTTATGTTTGCACTGTATTAGCGCCTAGTCACAACCATATGCGGCCGTCATGAACGACCTTCTCCTTGGTGTACCGCTAAGTATTCTTACGCGAATGCTCGATTCTCTTCATATATAAATTCACGTACGATTTGCTTCTTTGTTAGAGTAATTGTAAGATTGACATATGCTAAAGAGATTATTAACCTCGTGTGTTTCCGTATCATTAATATCACATATTAGGAATAAAAAATATTATGCTCGCCAAAGGAATAAAAAGTGTATACATATACATATACATAATTTTATTCCTAATATATGATATTAATGATACGGAAACACACTCAGTTAATCATCTCTATGTATCCTACACTTGTAATTATGTGATGTACAACTAAGAAATGTGTGTGTACCTGGAAAATATGAACGCAAGGCTGTATAATTGCGAAGCGCTTTTCCATATATTTTGCAAAATACTTTGTTGTATCAAGAAACGCGTTTTCCATGCATTCATTCGATACCAAAGAACGTGAATATAATAAACGTCTTGATACCCGCCCGCTATTTCAGTCGTCACGCTTTAGGCCCGTGACCATTCCCCCTCAGGACGGCATCCACCATGATATTGCTGGAACTGGCCTAATAGTGCAGTATGCGTATTATAAATGTGTGATGTGGAACTGTTGTGTTTATGTGAGATATGTGATCTATGGAACAGGCCTAAAAGTGGGGCAAACTATAACATTCCCATTCACCCACTTTGAACAGAAAAAATACGGGAACCTTAAATCACTTCGTTTGTCGTATCGATTTAAATTCTAATCGAGTTTTCTTATAATTATATTCATATACATGTTTCTTCCAGGAGCTTTCCTGATCCCATTCATCTTGCTACTGCTCATTACCGGATTTCCAAGTTTCTTCTTAGAATCGATAATCTCTCAGTTCTCGGGAAAGGGCGCCAAACAAGTTTGGAGGTTTTGTCCTTTGTTTAAAGGTCAGCGAATCTATTTTATTTATTTTATTAAAATAAATATTAAATGTAGTTCGAAAATGAAGCCCGTCATCTATAGACAGTACAATCACTAGATTATCACGTATACAATTGAAAAACATAAATCACAACTCAACAACACCACCCATAAACGGACGATAGGTAGCCAACAACTGAAAGTGTATCACCATACTATAAACCACAGGGATGTGCTACCTGAATCGCCCCTGGCTGGATTTAAACCATCCCCTCGGTAACTGCTGACAATGGATGCGTCAAGCCAAATTTTGAATAACACAAGCGTCACATTTAAACTCTGGCATGCATATGGACATTTCAAATGGTGAGACGACTAAACTGAATAATTACAATATGTATTATCTGACACATGACTCAATTGTCACCATATTATGGAAATGTCACGGTCAAGTAATGCTAACCCTGGATAAGGATATACAGTGGAAACCCGATTAGTAAGACTCGAACGGACTCGCCAAAGTGTTTACTTATCAGGTATTTTACTTATCAAAACTTATCAAAACCTGCAAATGACAACCATATGCATGTATATGTTTCCAACAGAATAACATACACCATTTGTAAGTAATATGACATGTTTTATTCCATAAAATTACATTGAGTAAAGTAATACATTTATAATACATAGCAATATCAAACATAATCAAACAAAATATTTCAGTCACAGTCTAGCTTAGAACTCCAAAAAAGCTGTCATGAGGAATTGTCTCCTGGCAAACATCATTTCTCTTCCTTTTCTGCCCCATGTTGTATCCTGTCATGACAGTATCTACATCGTCTTGCGAAATCACGTATATGTGTATATTGTTCAATCAGGGATTGGGGTCGGCGCAGTAGTAGTTGCATGTTCTTACATGCCCTACTACAACCTCTTCCTGGCCTGGCCCATCTACTACATGGTGAAGTCCTGCTCCAGCGTCCTGCCCTGGACAACGTGTAGCAACAGCTGGAACACCGACCTGTGTGTGGAAGACGTGAATACAATCTACGACAGCAACATGACAACCGTGGCAGGGAATACATCAGATAAAATGACTACAGCCAAACTGTGGGAAAATGTGACTCTGGCTCATACACCTGCAGAGGAGTTTTGGCAGTAAGATGCATCACGTCATAATTCTTTTTGTGATACAGACCAATCTTCTTTCGTCAAAACAGTTAGTGTTCCCCATATGACCATCAATTGTATTTCCATTATGACAGGTTATGGTATAGAAAATTAGTATATATCAAACCCTATATTATACACGTATATAAGACTGTACAGATGAAACCCAAACATAAGGTGTATCTGCAAGGTAATGAGGTATGTAGTAGTAACAATATCGGTAAACTATCAACACATTATATTGAAATAAACAAAAACGTGTTTTAATGAATGTGCAGAAATTATCACACTAGCCTGTCTGGACTTTGCCACACTGGGAAATTAGATAAATCGCGTTGTTTAAGAAGGGCATCAGCTCGCCAGCGTCTCGCGCTTCAATAGGCATAACCAACCGTCCATAAACTGTCTTTTTTCAAAGCACTTCATCGAGCAGAGTTTTCTTGAAGTTGCTCAAAGGGGATGTTCTACTTACATGTACTTTACTTATCTTATCATTTGAAGAAAGCCAAAAGACACAGTATACCCCATTAAACTGATCACATAACCTTCTTTGATATTTGACTTATGTTACCCGATATCCGTTTGGGGTTTGACAACCAGTCTCACTCACCATGTTTGTTTTTAGGTACAATGTACTGAGTGTCTCAACAGGCTTGGAGGATGTGGGATCTGTACAGTGGCACATAGTTGGATGTCTGTTTGTTTCATATATAATAATATTTCTATGTCTTGTACGTGGAATCAAGTCAGCTGGTAAGGTAATTCCCAAGCGAGTACCACTTGTGATTGCTAACATGCAAAATGCCACGAGTTGCCTTTCACTTTATTATGAACAATATGCCGGCAGGTCATTCTTACCATTTTTTTACCAAAGAGCATGTTTTATCGACAAACGTTTCATAAAGCATCACATTGCTTACAGAAACTCATCCATATTTGGATGATATTTCCGAAAACAACGAAAAGTGTTGTGAGCAGGGTTTTTATCACTGACATGGTGTAATTGCTTACATTTCTACGGTTCCGTGTGTAAATATGTGTAACCATTGCCACAGCTTATTATTTAGTCAGAATCCATCTTACTCCAAGTTTCAAGACCGTCATTACAAGTAATCATGTAACCAGAAGATATTTTCCCTGACCACAGGCTGTTTATGTGACTGCACTTTTGCCGTACATTCTCCTAGTCTCTATCTTCATCCCAACACTGCTGCAACCAGGTGCTGTAGATGGCTTACACTTCTATGTCATACCGGACTTCAGCAAACTGCTTGATATACAGGTGTGTTTTAAACTACAAAATTAAGCGCAGGGAATTCTAACTTCAGAACAATTCTTCAATGAGGTATCGGTAACATAACCACTTCAGAAAAGGCAATAGGAAAGACACTTCTAGAACCGAGACATTAATACTGTGATAATAACGTTTTATCTGATTATTCTTCTTGTCGGCAATATTTGAAGAGAGTAAGAGAGTTAAAGTTTAAAGCATCAGCAGTATTTCAGCAATGTCGTTACTCTGAAAAATATGTATCAATAAAGCTCAACTGTTGACAAAGGACAGTAAAAAAACAAAACCAAAAACCAAAACTACAATGTCACAGATTTACCGATTGTTTGCTAAAACTAAAATGTTATCATAAAAAATAATTTCACAATGCAGAAAGACATAATATATACACTGGCTAGAGATTGCCAGCAGCGCAAGGCAGATCACCATTCCCAATGGCCATGGGAACTTACAGTACCTTTACAATTGAAACAATGCAATACTGCGAGTGACACGGTCTCACGTACAATATCAGGGGACAATACTCTTACTGCACTTCAACCCCCTATCAAGGGCACTGCCACGAACAATCCCAGTTAATGATCATATACTACCTACATAAAGTAACATACTGGTACTTTGTACACCGACAATTATCAAGACAGTTGCCTTAAAACAATAATTTAACGAAAACTGCTGCCATTAAAAATATACTTCTTAGATGATGATTTGATAGATTGATCCCTTGTGATGGCAAACACAATGCAGTCAAGTATGACACAAGGAATGTAAACAGGAGGACCATCACCTTCAATAAATATTCTTGAGTACATCGATCTGCTCTGGCCAATGCGGCATCGGGTTTTTTCAAGCCTGGATTGAGAGTCAAAGTACTGTAACGAATAGTTTTATTGCATGTGGGCATGTATGGCAGTGTTATGTATCAGTAAGTGACGGTGATCAGTAAGTGACGTACATAGACTTCGGCTACAACCCTAAAGCATCTTCAGTGTTGTAACAACGTAGAAAGATGTAGCAAACACTACAAGGCTTGTTCCAGAATTGTCTGTTTCAATCTAGAATTTTCCAGCATGTTTGTCGCAGGTATATAATAGGAGTAAACGTTTACCTCTAATCTCACATTATATCCCAAGCCACACGAAGACCAGCATTTTACGTGATGATCATTGACTATTGTAAACCGCCAGGCTTAGTTGCAAGTTGCTTAAAAGATAATCACTGTAAGGTTATCAGAGGTGGCGTCACAGATATGTTGATTGCTACCTCAGCAGTAGTACCATCGTTTGGGTTACCGGTGATTCCAACACGGCTGTGTAACCAACCAAATACAACGATATCGTAGTGACCATCTTAACCAATCATTTCAGTTAATAGTGAATGCAATGCACAAAAGGGAATCTGAAAATATTTTGAACTCTCTATATTAAGACAGGTTTTTGAGATATTTTAGAGCTTACAGTTTTAGCTTCAACTGTGAAAATGGAACTATCTGGTAATCTCGAAGTTGTATTATTATTATTTTCTTGCCACTTAGCCTCCACATATAACCTATGAATCGGTGAAATTGTGAAGGCGCCAGGCTAAGCCCCACGAACAGAATTTAACATATATAAATTGATGGAGTCGTAATCAGTGGGTGAGCCGGGTTTTACGCTTCTTTCAGCAATACTCCAGCAATAGCATTTCGGAGGACACCAGAAATGGGCTTCACATTAAGTATCCATGTTAGGACTTGAACCTTAGGCGTGATGAGTGATGGAGCCGTACTCATATTTAGAACAGATCAGTTCTCCGTGTAGTTTGATGATGGTTTTCTGATCCCCTCCCAAATTTGAGTTTGAAACAATGAGTGAGTTAAAATTTATCGTCACATCGGCAATATTTCATCCATATCGTGACGAGAGAACCTTATAGAGCAATAAAAAAGCATTAACAATATTTAAAGGTTATGAAATGCTGTCGCCAAAGAACAGTGCAACCACTAGTACATCACATTTTATTAAAAACGAGTTAGCGAGCATATAAAATAGTAAACAGTAAAGTGACAACACGATATAAAATATGGGCTATAGATCGCCAGCAACTGAAGATAGATCACCATACTAGGGACCATGGGGACGAGTTTGAAACAACTGTTAATATATGCAGTGCCTTCGTTTGTTCTTTTTGCACGTTTTATCTGAGGCCGGAGAGAAAAGTGGTGACAAAATACAATAGCAAGGAATTCGCTTCCTTCACAACTTAGTTCCGGATCATATTTCCGGCAAAAGTGGACACATATACAAATCGTCCACAAAACTTGATCCTTACAGGTGTGGCTGGAAGCATGTTTGCAAGTGTTCTATTCACTGGGACCAGGCTTTGGGATGATTGGTGCTGCTGCGAGCTACAAACACTTTCATGAACCATGTCTCAGGGTGGGTAGCTGTCTCTTGCAATTACACTACAAAGTAGAGCTCTGATACGAGCAAAGGTCAATGCCACGTTACTAAAACCAGCTTCACACAGCTTTTGGAAATACTACTTTTCTGGAAATATGATTTATAAGCCTTCTCTAGAATATCTCGGGCTAATAACGGAACTGAGAAATTTTAGAAGCATTTCACTTACCGATTCTATGTATTAACATGCACAGACCCGGACGTTAATTTCATTTTTCATAATTCATTTCCGCCTGAAATGAACATACAGCGACTGAGTGAGTTAATATCTAACGTCACATCGGCAACATCTCAGCCATATCCTGACGAAAATAAACATACAGATATCTCTCAAAGACAAAGCCTTGGACCTGTTAACGAAACTTTTAGCCCCAACAATCTAAGTAGATATGTAATAATGAACTTGAATAAATGGAGATATATATGCTTATATTCACAGAGATTGCCTCATACTGACAATAGTCTCAGAAGGAACCAGTATCTCCTCTGGCCTCGTGACGTTTGCTACCCTCGGGGTCATGTCACAGAAAACGGGTGTTCCAATTGAAACCGTTGTATCAAGTGGTAGGTAGTAGTAAGTGTAGCTGGGAGTAGCGCTGAGATTGATGTTGCCTTGAGACAAGATACAACATTTTAACATGCTGGCCAATGTCATTTCCAATTTGACTTCTACCATATGTTCCCGTGCTCTAGGCGTTTGAAAGTGTATGTGATGGATGTCGCAGCTGGGCAGGTTGCCGTTGCTAGTTGATGGTGATTCACATGCACATCACCTTAATATAGTGGGAATTGCACAATCGACACTGCTTACAGAAGAACTTTCTTTTGGTTATGTAAAGGGCTTTGTGAATTTTACTACACATTATCACCTTTTTATTATTTGGTGGAACCGTGACTCCTCTATTTAAAACGAATTACAGTTATTGCAAACAATTCCAAACGTTACTCCATTCAATGACATCCTTGACTACTATACTTGGGAATCATTGCTTTATATGTGTCAAATACTGAATGATTTTATGCATAAAGTTATACATGAATACATGAATATTAATGTTGACATACGTCTCATCATACCCACTTACTGTCAAAGTGAGCTATTGTTTACTATTCTAAGCAGTATTGGTCAGATGTGTATTCAGTCAAAATCGTCTTTCCATTTAAACGTGATTACATTGTTATCATAGAGATCTGTATGATATTTTCTGGAGTGGGTAATAAATCAACAGTTTTCATTTAAGGTCCAGGTTTAGGATTTGTAACCTATCCAGAAACCCTGGCACAACTTCCTCTTCCTCGGCTGTGGTCATTCCTGTTCTTTCTGATGTTGCTAACAGTTGGTCTGGATTCACAGGTACTGTCTGCATGTATCCATGGAAGTGTTTGATATTGAATAATAAAGACGGCCTCAGGAAACTAACCAACTCCCAACCAACGACAATTTTTAACCAGCACTGAGCATTTCCAAACTAAAATTCAACTGTACAATGATATTTAGACTGATGTAAAACATGTCATTGTAATCCGCAAAGTGTCCAATGAACTGATGTTTCTTTCAGTTCATGGGTGTTGAAGTCGTTATTACCGCTCTGGTTGATCAGTATCCACAGCAGCTGGGCAAAAAGAGGATCCTTGTAACTGGAGGATACTGCCTCATCGCATTTCTTCTTGGAATCATATTCTGCACACAGGTGAATATACAAATTAGAAGATAGAATTTCTCCTCAAATGTAACAGCCATAGTTTCACAGCTGCATGCAAATACAGTGATTGTGTATTTACTAACAAAGGTCACAAAATGCTTCAGACGTCTGTGATATTTGTATTCATTCATGGAATTTGTGACTCGTTTTCTGGGAAGATTTATGGCACATGTCTTTTTGATAATGCGAACATAATTCAACTGACCACTTATGTGATGACCTAAACAGGCTGCATATCTTTTGCTCGGAACTTCACGGATCAGTGGTAGTAGTAGTAACTTCCCAAATAGGCTTTCTTGTCTAGGAATCCTTTGCGAAAAGAGATGTTCACACAACTGCTGGTCTTGACTCAATGTGAGATGTAATGTCAGCGGTTCAAGACAAAAAGGTGACCATTTCATATGTAGAGGCCACAAAATAATACAGACCTGCTTTGTTTGTAGGGAGGGCCGTACATGTTTCAGCTGGTGGACTGGTATATATTCTCCCTTGGACCAATGGTGATATGTACACTGGAGTGTGTCGCCGTGGCATGGATCTACGGTGTGTATGGCAAAACATTATTTGCATGCAAACCATGAAGCATATATCGGCATGGAAAGATAATTCTGATGTTGTTGTTGTTTCTCACACATTCAATACGTGCCACCTAGCTGCAGAAGGTTTTACTGCCATGAGATCGAGTTGGCAGTTGTAAGAATCGACGTTTTACATATAAGGTTCGTGATGGGTCAATATCATACACGTGACCTTAGGCAGCCGATCATATTAGAGCAAAGAACCCAAACATTCAGCTTTATGTAAAATCGTGCTGTTCTGAACGTGTTAAGAAAGTAATTGAACCCCATACGTAAAATATGAAACTTTGTAGACGTATCGTGCAAGGTTGCTACCTGTGACCAATAAAGTCTCATGCATATATTTTCGCATTAAACATCGTGTACCATCGTGAAGATCGAGGTGACGACTTACATTACATGATCGCACGAAAATGTGGAAATTGGAACGTTTGACAACTTTTATGAGTACTTTTGTTGATTTTACTCATTAGTTTATTATTATTTTTATTTCATCGAACCATCGTTATTTTGCTATTTGGCAGTTTAGATGTGACCTGTACGAAGTATATGTACGAGAACTGTTTATTTAATAACATTGTGAAAAATGTCTATGGTCAATTTAAATGTAACATGTGTTACATTGTGAAAAGTGATATATCTAACGAATGAATCATATGTCAGGTAGGTCCTTAAAATTATATGTCTGGTCGGTGATCCGGCTTCCGGTGGCTGGGCACCAATTATCGAGCCTGTGGCGCTGAATAGGTGAAATTTTCTAATTTGGAATGGCAAGGCCGATGGGTATCCCTGGTATCCCAAGGTAAACTAGGCCAGGCGACATACTCGATCGTGTGGTTACCTTGGTGTCCTAGTTTGATGGCGTTGAGCATTCAAGATATCAGTCACTGGATTGTCAGGTCCAGATTTGATTATTTAAAGGGCACCTTAATGTGCTAAATTATTGCTGAGTGCGACTATATACATCGAACAAATGAAACAAATTCTACAATCACATCGCTGAGCAGCTGGATTTTCATCATCAAAGTGAGCATTTGTTTGTGTCAGGTATGAATCGGATCAGTAGCGACGCTAAGATGATGTTTGGGAAGCAACTGGCGATGCCTGTAAAGATCCTCTGGGCATTCGTAACACCAACAATCTTAATAGTAAGTACAATAGTGTTCAATAGTTTCATCGAGGTATGGACACACTGCATACTGTACATGGTGGTCCACAAGACATTCCTCATCTCGTGGCCATATACCTTTAGTGTATGAAGTGTGACAGTAACACCATGCGTCACATAATTACCCAAACTCATCCCCTACCAACCGTAGCTGGGTGGCCAAATTTACAGCAACATCCAATCAGTATATGTCCTGCCAACACCAAGCCTAAAGCAGCGCCATTTGCAATGTGTGTCCCTTTCAAAGGAAATACCCCCCACCACAACAGTTGCCTCCACAAGAAGGAAGCAGCAAACAAACGATATTTCATCAGCTCTACACTTCTGAAACTGTATGAAAGCCAAATGCACGAACTCTTCCAAAGGCCCTGAAAGACCGTAAGTGTACAACATAAGCAACACCAACGGAGGTTAAGTCTCTTCCCGACAGATTAAAACATCTACCTCGAGTGAGTGAGTGAGTTAATATTTAACGTCACATCGGCAATATTTCAGCCATATTGTGACGACAAACATCTGCCTCGAAGTCAGAACGAAAATCAACAATGTCCACATGTGCCAATGACTAAGTAAGATACCAGAACATCCCAGATATCCAGACCTAAACCGGAGGGTTGTATCCAGCGCTTATACCTAAACAATCTTTCATTCCATCCGAGGGTATCAATCATAATATGAATTAATTCCAATGGTTCTCATCAATAATCTTAAAACTCGCAGTTCGGATCTATCATCATAAGAAACATCCTGAAACATGTCGGTGCTATGAGTATTCTAAACCTACAATGTATCACCTCATCTAAATGTATGCAAGTGACAAATCCCTTCTAGTTTCAACAGAAACTAGATGCATGTGTTACAAATTGTACGTTATCGACCATAACATGAGCATACGTCAATTATATAGTGAGTGAGTGAGTTAAGATTTAAAGTCACATCGGCAATATTTCAGCCATATCGTGACTAAAACTAGTTCTAACTTTGTAATACAGACATATAATATATAAAACCCTGTCAACGAAGGACAGTAAAACAACTAGAATATCACAATTAGGTTTAAAACTAGTGTCGAAGGTTAAAACTAATAGCACTATTAGGACAATACAAGATAAAAACAGGCTATAGATCGCCAACAACTGAAGGTCGATCACCATACTAGGGACCATGGGGACTTACAGTACCTTGGTCAATTATATAGAGACCTCTTCTTATCCACGTTGCCTCTTCATTTTACGTTCAGACAGCTTTCATCCTGACACTTCTCCGCTACCAGCCACCAACCTATGGCAAGTACGTGTTTCCTAGCTACGCCTCTACAATCGACTGGATCATTGCAGTGCTGCCCCTTCTACCGATACCAGTCTACATGGTCATGACTGTCAGGAAGCACATGGCGACCAATTCCCTGAAGAAGGTATGTGTGCTTCTTCATATTTGGCTCTTCAGTGTACTTCTTCCAGATATGTTAGGTTGACCTTAAAGGGATAGGGTGTTTTTAGGGATAATGGTCTATGGGATGGTTCCAAAACAATAAGGCGCCAACTCACGAAAAATGACTAAAGTACTGTCGGGAATAGAAAAAAAACTTTTTTTTCGCATTGATATGTACAATTTATGTATGTAGTTAATATGTGTAAGTGTAAACTATCTGTTAAACTAAGTTCGGCCTAACTACAGTCTCACTGGTAGGGAGATAGGAAACGTAGAAACAGGACTTTACTGAGGAGGGATTAGTGCAGAAATGAGAAACGACTTATTTGGAACAGACCATCGCTTTATGCAAATAAGTGTGCGATGATATTATATCACAAAGGACAATGTTTAAATGTCCATTTTGAAATTAAACCCAAGTCTGGGATAGTACAAGTAGCCGCACATACTCACATGCATGCACGTCGTCATATGAGCGAGATATTCTCAAGCTCGACGTTCAACCAAAGTACTTTGTTTCATCGCTATATGGCTGATATATGGACAGTGCAACGACAAAATTTTAACTCAATCAATCAGCTCATATGTGTTGTCCCCAGCCGTGATCGTGCTGGAAAATTGCTAACGGTGTGGTAGAACAATACTCAAACATTCTTTTGCACAGTGGAGTCAGATTTCATGTTCAGCCCAAACATTAATCGGGTACTCAGTCAACATTTCTGGATAAAGAATGTGAAAGTATGTATCGTAGAATATTCTCTCCAGCACCTGTCAAGACATTAATGTTGATAATGCCTTTACTAATTTGTTTCCTTCCACAGAGTATAAAGATTGCCTTGAGGTCCTGATGCTGACTGGCGTCCTGCAAACTCCAGATGAGGAGTCAGAGTGAAGGATCAACAAACAGCACGACCACCTTTTAAACTTCCAGCAAGGCTATCATCACACATTATTTTCTAAAACCATTATATTGTGACAATGATATAACACACCTAACAGTAACCTGTTATATATGTATCAAATTATACAGAAACGCATTAATCGATTCATAAAGCTGTGGTAATAGAAATATATATTTGTCGATTTTGTATGTTCCACTTTGTCGTATTTGTTTTACGCACTGCTTGCTCTTGTACACAGAAGATATAAAGCGCATATAATTATCAAACATTGTTATCATAGTTTCATCACAGTAGTGAATCTGCAATCGCATTACTGGATTTCTGGCCAATCACTTGACTGTTTGACACGTGAAGGTCCGGGTTAGAATGAACCTTCAGTAACCCATGCTTTTCGTAAGAAGTAACTAACGGGGTCGGGTGGTCAGGCTCGCTGGCCTGGTTGACCCATGTCATTGGTTCCCAATTGCGAAGATCGATGCTCATGCTGTTGATCACTGGATTGTCTGGTCAAGACTTGATTATTTACAGACCGCCGCCATATATCTGGAATATTGCTGAGTGCGGCGTAAAACTAAACTCACTCACTAACCTGACTCATTGGTTTGGTTTGCAGGTGATGCTTGTGGTTTTTGGTGTTGTGAATACATGATTTTCATGTGTCCATTTATACAATTGTTACCGATATTTTGTCTTTCACGCTCATCGAAATCTGTTACGTTGAACATCTAAGACTATTCTGCAGCACTGACATTATATAGTTATTGATATATTAGGCTGAAGAAAACAAGTATGCACCGACTCATCTACAATAGTTTTTGCTGTAATTGAGGTCATTACAATTATACCTACGGAAACATGTAACTGTCAACAACATTATATTTGATAAAATTAAAGCTATTTGAAAAGTTGTAAAATAACCCTAAATAAACATGTAGCAAACACTTTGCATGAAAGTATGCTTTTGCCACGAACGCTTTGTGCACAATAAACTTACTTTTTGCATGCTGTTGACACCTGAAGTTCACACACCTAATTTGAAAATTGAAGAACGTCTGATTATTCTCGAGCCTCTGAATGTTGTGGAAAACACGTTAATTTCAACCTAAACTGCACGAACGTCATGCCACGGCTTACAGGAAATCAGCGTCTCCACGCCGTGGGAATGGCCCAAAATAAAGTGGTCATACGTTTTGGTGTCCTTCGAAACAAGATCTCATCTCTATAGAGACGTTTTCAACATAATGGGAACACGATAGATTTGGCTCGGGCCGACCGTCCACGCGTGACATCAAGTCAGCATGACAACCACATCGGCTGACCCATCCAGGGCATCGACTCCAGACTGCCAGTTTGACTGCTCGAACCATTCCTGGCTTACGTTTCTATCAGTTAAAGGACCGCACGGAACCGACTGAGGGAGCACCACATCTGGCCCCGATGGCCAGCAATTCGTCCAATGTTACTCCAGCGTCACCGACGGGCACGTCTTGCCTGATTGTACGGTACAGGAAACAATATGTGATGGTGTTTTGTTCACTGACGAGTGGAGATGTCATCTGGACAGCTCAGATTGCAGGACAAGGGTGTACAGACGGCGAGGTGAACAGTATGCTGACGCTTGCGTTGTTCACAGTGAGGTGACGAAAGTGTTATGGTATGGGTGAACATCACGTCTCATGGTCGGACACAACATTGTCAATGATAATCGGACATGTCTGCGATGCAGGGATGAGATCATTGGACCTCATGTGCAGCCGTTCATTCAAGGACAGAAACGTAACTTCACGCTTCAGCAAGATAATGCCCGTCGCTCGTCTTGTGACAGAGCTGTTTCTCCGGACCTGTCTCCTATCGAGCATGCCTGGGATGAAATAGAGTGACGTCTACGTCAATCCCAGAATCAGCCATTGGCGTCAGGTGAATTGGGACAAGCGTTGATTCAGACATGGAAACACATTCCCCAAGCTTTCTTCAATCGTTTAGTGTTTGTCTATGCGCTGTCATTGTCAAGCCTACATCAACGGCAATTGTGGACACACACGATACTTAGTTTGTGAACTTTTGACACCCATCTCTTCAATGGCGTGTGACGATGCCTAATGTCAAATCATACAGATTTCGATATTATCCTGTCTACAGTTATTCAGGGATTAAGGAAAATACCAGAAATCATGTGATCTTTTTGCATTAAAAATGTCATAAAATCAATTTGCCCAGTTACTTTATTTCAGTAGTATTGGGAACTTTTTCTTTCCTTTGCACTTTGTGCCTGTCATGCCGATACCTGTACATTTAAAGGTCACATGCAACCAAAAAATCAAACAGTATTTAAAACACAATTATCACTTATTCATGACATATAATATACATTGCTGATTATGAAAAAAACATCTACACAAAATTATAAGCGTACAATCGCAAATCAAAAGTGCAATATTTTGTACTTGGGTTTACTTCCCAAGAAATGAAGCAGTCGGGATACCGAACCCCGTCAGAGCGGGTGGGTATGCACTCAAGTGTAACGGCTGGTTCATTTGCAGATGCCCTCACGGCTCATTGTGTGTGTATACATAGAGATGTTGGGTTTTGTAAATACATGCTCATGTTTTGTGCATAACATTATGCAATCAACAGACGTCATGACATGTCATGTGTACAAGTATCACACCTGCCTGTCTGTGTAATTACATAATGTGACAGAGACCAAACTCGGGCCATAAATCAATGCGTTTTGTTAAGTTCAAATTGCATGTGGTCAGTGATTGAAGTTGTGTATTGAATATTGCCATTAGCAGACAGGCATAGGTGTCAATAAAACAGACATTGAGTTTTGTCTGCGCCAACGACATATCTATATCACAGTTAGAAATTCTGTCAACGCCAAATAATGACATTGCTTTTAAGTATCGAACTTAGAAAGTGACTCGGTAAGAAGAACGTGTGGTGAAATAGACAAATGAAATTATATGAACAGTTAAATCGGTAATCTACTGTCATAACATATATGTCAACAAAACATTAGAATAATAGCTCACACCAAAGCCTTCACCGAGTATTCACCGGACAACCCGCTTCCAAGCTGCGCGAACCCATTTTAATGCGCATGTGCTATGAGCACAGCGTAGCCCAGCTGTTGAAACAACATTTTTCCCAATGCACTGGGGGAAAATTAGTGAATCGTTTGAACTCATCGCGGTTTTTTTCATCGCGTTATTTTCGACTTTATAACTTGAATTTGCATGTTTGATGATTTGTTTCGGTTAGTCCAAAGTTGTGTTTTACGTTGCATGTGACCTTTAAAGAAATTGAATTTTGTGTCGAACGCGCAGTATGTGTCATCGTGACGCAGGATATGACGTCATGTCCGGTTAGCAAAAGGGATGACGATCATGTCTGGAGTTCGTACTTTCACCAGAAACCAGAGTTTTGGGGGGCAATTTCTATCCTGCAGTTTTCAACACATGTACTGATATACAGTTTCATCATTGCCGTAACTGTGCATGTGATTATGTGCGATTATTTCAAAATGCTTTGGGTTGTGCTGAAATACATTATTTCCAATAAATATCACGTGGAAGCCACCCTCAAAATAAAATCTTTTCTCACCCAAAATAGCTTCATGAACAATCTGTGAGATATAGAAATGACAAAAAGGCTTATGTCATTTTTTGATAGACTCAGTTCGTCGGCGATTTTCAAGTTCAGAAAGAATTTAACAATGGAGTCGCTTTTAGTGGCAAGTTTATTTTGGGGAGTTCAGGTTATCAGGCATTTTATATCCACACACCGAGGCTCCTGTTCCACCTCTTGAATCCACTTGAATCACTCTGGGGTATCATTGAGTGAGTGAGTAAGTAAATGTTTTTAAGTCGCATCGGCAATATTTCCGCCATATCGGGTATCACTGAATGAAATAATACCCTTTCTGTTTTGTTTTACTTGTTTTTTTGCCAATGTGTTCTAATCAGTTTTGCAAATAAACAAAAATGACAATCATAAAACATCATGCCTGAAGCAGTGTCTCATTGTGTGATTCCGACTGATTTAACTTATTGTTATTTACCATTTGCATTTACAATTTGTTACTATAAGAGTTAAGTTATTAAATAACCTTATTTTTTAAATAGCATACATTCTTCAACTATTATTGTATGATTTTGGAAAAGTAATATGAATGGAAAATCAATAGAAATATTGGTTGACTTAACTATTGATTCTATCAAAGGGAATATTCATCCCACGACCTAAGTGTGTTATATTCAAGTGGTAAGTATTTACATGCTAACGAAATATGAATGGTACGAAAATAGGTCAACTATATTTCATCTGCACAAAATTGGAATGTTTATGAATGGTGTCTTTTCTCTGTATTGTAACCCGAGAAATGGCGTTTGTTGACATGATATATACAAGCAATATATCATATGAAGTTTACTTTATCAATAACTTATCAGAGTTAAATGAATAAATAACATTATTTTAAAATAGCATACATTCTTCAACTATTAGTGTATGATTTTGGAAAAGTAATATGAATGGAAAATCAATAGAAATATTGCTTGACTTAACTATTGATTCTATCAAAGAGAGTATTGTCATCCAACGATCTAAGTGTGTTATATTCAAGTGGTAAGTATTTACATGCTAACGAAATATGAATGGTACGAAAATAGGTCAACTATTTGTCATCTGCACAAAATTGGAATGTTTATGACTGGTGTCTTATCTCTGTATTGTAACCCGAGAAATGGCGTATGTTGACATGACATAAACAAGCAAAAAAGTTGACATTATCAATACTTTATAGAACAAGGAATGTGATATTTCAAATATTCAAATTCATTATATAAGGAAGAATCGGTAAGTGACAGATCCAGAGAAGAATTTGTCCCCGTAGCCGGATGTAAATAGGTTGATGAATCATTGTTAAATATACATAGGTTATTATCTGAAATGAATTCCTCAAGGATTTTACCTTTATTAGTAGTATTTGCATTTCCCCAAATCGGGTTGTGTCCGTAAGGATTGCCCATGATGGGACAGATTTTAAGATGGGTTGAGATGAATTGGGCTTTACGTCACATCGGCATTTTTCCAGCTATATAGTGACGAGAACAAGTCTGCTTTAATAATCATTTCAAATATGAAATCCAAATACATATCAACGTCCCTCAGGTAGTTAACAATCAGATGTCCGCTCACGCAAGAAAATAGTTCTTTCAGATTTATCGCAGTCGAAAAGTCCACACAGTCAAGCAGAATATGCTTGATGGTGAACACCTCATCGCACGAGACACACATGGGAGGTCCATCCCCATCCGTTTTCAGCAGATAGTCATGAGTAAAGCGACTGTGGCCAATACGACATCGTCGTAAAATCATATCATCACGTCTTGACTGACAACCCAAGTAGGTATAACCAATTGTTGGCTTTAATTCATACAGTTTATTTCTTCCTACTTAAGTTTCCCACCTTTCTTGCATGAGATCCGGAGTATAACTTTTGATAGTGGGCTTGAAATCACTGTACGGGATCAGCAGTGGCGATAAGGGTTTGTC